CCCTGGGGACGCAGCCACCGACCCCATCCCGGATAGCAGCGAACCGATCTCTCGGCCCTCCCTGGCTCCTGGTAAGGAGCACTTCCGCTATCTCAAAGTTGCCATAAGAAAATAAATACAAGTGACATTGTACTGGGCCAAAGCTCATTAGTTCGTTGTCCAGGCCTAATAAAGGAACAGAGGCGCAAATTATAGAGTTCAGCTTCAACACACGCTCTGTCACCCGAGATCAGCGTACCGCGAGCCTGATTCCAATTGCTCCGAACTTGCTGTGCAGTTCGCCCCCCACCCCCTCCTCAGGAGCAGGAGGTTGGGTGGAAAAATATAGTTCCAAAGGGAGTAATGATCAAGCTTTTCCTCTCGGAAGCCTGCGCCACCTCATTTCCCATCAGTAATCCCAATAAAATTAACGTCGTGGCTGCAATTGAAAAGAGGAGAACCCGCGACACTCCTGAAATAACACATTCTTCCCAGCAAAAGGTAAAAAGCAAAACGGCCCTTTGTTCGGCTAATTAAGGAAGGCCCAACTCCGAAAGCACATGTGTTTGCCTAACTAATCACAAGCATGTTTCTTTCAAGGAATGTCATTTTCAGGGGCTACTGGGGTGGGGGCGGGAGAGAGGGACACTACCCCCATAAGCCCTTTCTGCCTGGGGGTCTCTCACCCTGGCCTAAGATCTAGAGGTAGAATCCAAGCAGCTCATCTCTCACACCTTTCTTCTCATCTGCCCAACTCCAGAGGCCCAGGAGTAAAGGACCTCCGCTACCCCAAGGCCAGACCAGCGAGCCACCAAGCAAGGGGGGAAAAGTTTTAATGACACTTATGCCATATTAAATGAGGCAGTTTTACAATTCACGTTGAATAGGACGCTAACTTATTACAAGTGTGTTATCAGAAGGACGATAAGATTTATAACTCCAAGAGTCAGCTTTGCGCATTAATGACAATGGATGCTGGGGAGGAAATCTGTTCTGGATTAGAGGGGCAGGGAGTCCCTTCCCGGTTTCCAAGTCTTGACGGATACATCCAAGAGGACCCACACCAGCCTGGCCCTTTGTGTCTCCAAAGGAAAGATTCTCCCTTTCCTGTTTCGCCAGGAAACGGGGGCTGCTTGTGGGGTGAGCACCTCGCTCAGCTTTTCAGCCGGAGCATGAAAGAGGAGACAAGAGTGAAAGGAGACTGAATGGTAGGACTTGGGGATGAGGGTGGGAAGGCAGACAGTCCTGAGCCCTCCCCATCCCAGCAAGCAAACGCTTCCCCATCTTCCTTTACCATACAAAAGATAGCTGTGCCCTAAACCAATACAGTCAACAAACTTTAAAAAACCGGGGTCCTATTACAAACCAACGCCCAGCACTAACTGCTTTAAAATTACTGCATAATTAGATTTAGTTGAATTTCACCATTAATTAGGCAGCCGCACTGCAGGGAGCCTTTGAAATCTGAGAAAATGGGAAAAATCATCTGAAGCACGTTTTTTAAAACCCAACTTCAATAAATCTTGACGGGGCCTGGAATTCAGGGTACCTCACTTCCCTCCCAGGTGGTTGTTAGGGTTCCCCAGGCCCATGCTAAGGCTTGGAACTGGACAGGAGAAAAAAACAATTCCCCCATCGAACCAGAGCGGATGGGTCCCTATCTAGAGTCTCCCAAGAGGCCTGGGAAGAGACTTTCTGGGAGGCCTGTCTGTCTGCCCGCCACCCTTGCCTGCTCTCAAACCTACTGGAGGAAGGGATTCTTCCTCTGAAGATGCGCTTCAGCCAGTGGCGCAGTCCACGAGGGTTCTCACATAACTGGGCCTCGCGACCACCCTCCTGGAGGCGGCCCTAGGCCCCTTCTCAGTGCTACTCTCCAGTTAAATCTCTATCCGCTAAGCCACCTTTCCCTGAACTTTGATGAGCAAGCAGCAAGTTGTACCAAGCAGGCGAGGTTCGCCGCTCGCCTCCATCCCCTTAGCAGGTCCCAGGCCCGCTGGAAGCCCAGAGCAGCCTCTGCTTTAATGAGCGCGGGGAACTGACCCAGGTCTGTAAATACTGGCTTCTCCCCCTCCCCCTATACCATTCAAACACTTAAGATCGTTTGTGGATACCGATTTTTATTCTTCTCATTTGGTTCTGGGAGGAGAGGGGGCATGAAATCAACTCTCCTGAATATCTGGGGGGTGTCAAAAAAAAAAAGAGAGGGGTTATAGGTTCGTGGGTGACCAACATTTCCCCCTACCAACGCTATTGCTTTAATTACAGAATAATCGAGGACTGCTCTCACTTGCCAGCCCGAGTTTAAAAGAGGGATTTCTGCCTGCAGACCGAATGGCCCTTAGTCCTCCCCCCCACCCCACCCCTCCCACCACCCACCCCTTTTTTCTTCCTTCTTTTTGGTAACCAATGTGTTTTCTATTACCCGGCCGTGCGGTGCCTGGCAGCCTGCGCTCGCGGTGCAATGGGAGACGCCATGTTGGCTCAGCTCATAGGACCAAGTCAAAAGCGAGCTTGCAGGCAGAGTTTTCACACGCTCGAGCTCCCCCTGACCGCCCCCCGCCCCCGCCCCCCGCCCGTCGCTGCTCGGTGCACGTCCCGGGAGAGCAGCTGGGCGCTCTCGGCACCCCGGATTTTCCCGGGCTCGGGGCGGAACGCTGCGGCACTGGCGGTGGGGGCGGGGGGCGGGGGGCCAGGCACTTTCCCGCAGCCGCTGCCAACTCCCGACCCGGTCCCCGCCGCCTGCCGATGCTACCACCAGGCCGTCGCCCGGGACCCAGCCCTGGACGCCGCCCGCTAACTTCGAGCCCCAGGCCCTCGCCACCACCACCCTCCTCCCCGCCACCTCTCTCCCCCGCCCCCCCAAACCCCGTCCGCCCGGGCCAAGCTCTACGTGAAAGGCCGAGGCAGGGCGACCGCGAGCCGAGAGAACCGGCTAGAACCAACCCCCTCCCTCCTCCCCCGAAGCTCAATCTTCTCCCAGGTTTGTTTGAAAGTGGCCAGAAGGAGCGATCGCCCCTCTCTCTCTCCTCGGACCATTGTTGCATTTCGCCTCTAACTGGGTTCTCTCACACCACCGAGCGCCGGGAGGAGGGGGAGTGGGGTTGGGAAAAGAAATAAAGCGAGCTCAGATCAGATGGAGGAGGGAAAAAAAAAACCAGCAAGGAAAAAGAGACACTTAAAGGGAAAGAGTCGCCATGTTTAGCAGCTTTTTTTTTTTCTTTCTTTCTTTTTTTTTTTTTTTTAAGATCTCGTCAATTTCACACAGAACGCACTCGCTGGGTCCCAGCCCTCGTCTTTTGTCTAATTCAGTCGCAGCAAAGATCTTTTGTTCTAACTCAGCGTGAAAAGAAAAACTTTCTTTAAATGCAATAAACTTAAACCGAACTCAAGACTCTAAACAGATCCTCCTCCGGCCACTCTAAACATATACAAGGGCTTTTGTTTTAACCCGTTGAAAATTTTTGAGTCCTGTTTTTTTCTGCCTCGAAGACCCCCAGCTCATCGCTGAAACTTAGAGAGAGCCAGAGAGAGATTTTTTCAACGCCTAGAACACATACTTAAAAGCATAATAAAACAGGGGACTGTCTTTTGCTTTGAAAATCATAAATTATAATTTAATGCCAATAATAATTTACAACAAATGGCTGTTTACAATAAGCTAACACAAAACAAACAAGGAAAAGGGCCTATGTTTTACTTGGTGGAGAAACTTCACACACTCACATGGATAGCACTTGCAAGAGGGGAAAATAAACAACCAACAAAACCTCCATCTAAAGGTCAGATGTTGCTGCAAAACATACTTTATATTTATATATATATCTACAGAGAGAAGGTGAGGGTCAGAAGGGGAACTCTGCCTAAGTCAGGCAGAGTTTTCAGGTCTGCATGGATGAACCAGAACTGAGCATCAAAGTTTAATGCACTTTGCAGAATGATCCCTTTTCTCTCACTTCTTTCATCAGCCCCTCCCTCATTTTAAGATTAAAACCACAACATGGTAGAAGTATTGTCAGGGAGGGCAGCTTGGAAAATCTAAGTAAGAACGAATTGTAAGTTCCCAGCACTGAGCTTTTTCCAAACCAGGCAAAGAGAATAGGAGACTGGAACAAATAGTAGGCTTCCCAGATCAGCACACCCTGTAAAGTTTTTTTTTTTTTTAAATATTCTCTCTCTCTCTCTCTCTCTCTCTCTCTCTCTCTCTCTCTCTCTCTCTCTCTCTCTCTCTCTCTCCTTTAAAAATTGGCTTCTAAGAATGAAGGATCCCAAGAGCAGTGCAGACTGTAAATTACAATCTGAAATGTCCAAATGTCCATGGGTTTTTATGTACATAACTCCAATGGAAAAGCTTCCCTTGACCTGTGGTCATGCTCTCACAGACTGAAGAGGGAGGGGGAGGGGAAAGGCAGGCCAACTGCAAGTTATCATATATACATGAAAAACCAGACCCTTCATCGCTAGCAGCTACATCACTGTATTCAAAATCCTCTCAACAGCCACGCTAGATGAGAACCACAATTTCTTTTTTTTAAAAAATCACACTTAAGGAAAAACTCATTGCCAACAACTGCCCTCTATTTACAGTGCTGTGATTAGCTTGCTCGAACAATCCTCTGCATAACTGTCAGAAATGTACAAAAGAGCATTTTTTCCTGATCATAAAATAGATACTGATCTCAAGATTTCTAATACTTTTCACAATACTTTCCCTAAGCAGGCACTTAAGTGTGACAAATATAAGGGCCTCTTTTTTTTTTCTCCTGGAAAATCCATTTTTAATTAAAAGGAGGATTAGGTGAATGGGGGTGGCTTACTATATCAGTGTGGCACTTCCTAAACCATAGATAAACCATTAACTTCGGCTCCCCCCACACACACCCAAATTAAACAGGCAAATACACTAGTCTACCTTTGAACAAACTGATTGAGGGGAGTAAACAAATGGGGCCCCCGCTGGCTGAGCGAGGGCCCACAGGGTCTCAACTTGATGGAAAGACAGTGAGTGGGGACAGCCAAGCAGGTTTCAGATATCAAATAATATTTTAATTTCTGAATACTTTCAATTTTCCTTGGAATATAACACACAAAGACTCGACCAAACAGTTCAGTTATTATAACTTTTACAGTATACAGAAATGTTGCACTTAAAAAAAAAAGAAACCTTCAGTTTTTTTAAAAACACAAACTGTAAACTCTAAGATACTGAATCAATCACGTTACCTATAAGTGCCAACAGTGTTATTTTGTCATGCTGATTTCAATGGTATTTTTTAAAAAGGGGAAATATCAACAATTATAATACAAAGGGCTTGCAAATATACAAACAGATATAGGATTCATAACAATTCAAGAACTAAGGGTGTGGGGGGGACCCAATTCAAATTACAAAAGTTCACTTTTTATTCAAAACCTCAGCTTGTGTCTTGGACACATTCCTTGGCTGCCAATAAATTCCACAGTTCCTTCTCTTTCTTAAAATATTTTTAAAAAGCTAGGTTTGTCGTGGTATGGGGAGGGGTAGGGAGGCTGTGTTGCATGTGATCCCTCCAGCTTGCTAATCAGAGTGCTCAACTTCACCTAAAAACATTTGGCCACCACTGGTTAAGTGCATTTCCACCATCTGAGTTGCCTTTTAAAGTTTTATGTCTTCCTATGATATTTTCATGGACTCAGTTTTAATTCTTGCAGAACATATATTTTAATGATACACAGTTTTTAAGAAGCCAAGATTATATCAAAACTTATTATAGAACCACAGAATAAACTGGTTTGGAACCAGAAAAGTACAAAAAAAAAAAAAAAAAAACCAGCTAGAGGTACATAGACACAGGACAATTAATAATTTGGAAAAAAAAAAAGACTTACTTTGTCCATTCTGCTAATTTTCTCCCAATCTCCTTAAATGCACTTTTAGCAATATTTTTCAAAAATTTACCAAAAAGAAAAAAAGACTAATTTCCTTTTTATACAAAAATGATAAGTAGCAAGTTGCTGTTCTGCCCAACACAGTTGTTTTCTTTTTTTAATGCATTCTGTAAAAGTTCATTTGACAGTCTCTCTCTCTCTCTTTTTGAAATTCACAGTCCATTAAATTCTTCCCCCTCTTCTTTTAGCAAACTTGTAACATCCTTTCTTAACAGAAGGAAATTAAGCAAACAAAACCAGTCTTTTGCCTTTTCTTTCTCTGTTTCACTCCCCCTTCTTATTTTGATTTATTTATTTATTGAATTGCCATATACGGCCAGTTAAAACTGCTGCCGGACAGTAACATATCCCGGATGAGGGTTTCGATGGGGGTTTTACCTACCAAACGGACGAAAAACAATTGCTCTATGACTGAGGAGGAGACCGTGCGGAGGGAAGGGAGGCGAAGCAAAAGCTTTCCGAACCGCGTTGGCTGGTTGGGGTACTGGCTCCTAACGTACTCTTCCAAAGCACACTGGGACTTTTCCTGCAAGCTTTCCACATGGGCTACATCAGACAGACCACAGGCATCTGGAAGAAAGTTTAAAAAAAAAAAAGTGCAGAGAGAGGGAGAGAGAGAATTCATCAGATTAAGAGGCTTGAAATGGGTCACCTGAGGTGTGCACACATTGCAATGTCAAACTGCCCCATCCAGAGTTGGAGCAAATGCCTATACACTGAAAACTTCAAGGGGGAGGAGGGAGGAGGCGGCAAAGCTTGAGATGGTCCTGGAGTGTTTACTTTAAAATAAAACACGCTTGGGTGCTACAAGCTTTCATTGCCCCAGTCCTCAGCCTGGGTCACTGGGAGGCCCAAGAAAAAGTGCATTGGTGTATCTGGCCCAATTTAGTACTCAGACAGACAAAACCCAAACCACCAAGGCTTCTTCCCCCATCCTCTGAATTTGGCTGATTATATAGTGTGTATAGGGAGGAGGGTGACAACCTGGCCCAGCTTTCAGTAATGGCGTCCAAGACCCAGCCTCAGATTCTCCCCAAAGAGAGCGACTCATTTTTCTCCAGTCTTTGAAACTGATTTAAGTGGTCCTTTAAAACTGATCTTGTCAGTTTAGCCCTATTGAAAGGCAGCCATGCAAACTGTGATCTCTCTGTTCATTTGAGCTGTTTCTTTCCCCTCCTTTTCTTCTCTCTCCCTTTTCTCCCACCCCCCTTTATTATATTTTTTTTAAGCCCAGGTCTCTCCAAGAAGCATCCCCCCCTCCCTGTTATCTTCAGGAAAACACTTTTCTTTTTTCTGATACGTGAAATTACAATAAGTGCCTTTGAAATGAGACGCTTCTCGGTGAAGGCGGTTCAGGTTGTGACCTGACCTTTCAGGGCTCCCCAGACAAGACTGGGGTTAACACATGCATATTGTGAATCATTAAAACAGATATTCGAAAACAGTCACCACCGCCTCCACCCCTACCAGCAGAACACACATGCAACCTCCTCCACTGTGTCCAGGACTCCATGTGTCTACAGATGCCTAGGTGTCTGTGGTCAGGAATGAAAAGATCTGTTTGTCTAGGACTCCTTCCCTCCTTATTGGTACTGTGTGTCTCCCTCTGAATCAGATAACAGGAACCTTTATCTCTTTGTGAGGCCATCTGCATTCTCCATACAGGCCTCCACATCTTGCAAACAGCAATAAATTAAACTGTTTCGACAGTACCAGGCATTTCTTTCCTTGAAAGACCAGGGGTGAGGGCAAAGGACTAACAATGATATCAAGAAATTCACAGCCATCCCCATCATCTGGGGACATGGGCTGGGTATCAGGGTATGAGAAGAGGGTGAAGGTGGCTATAGGACAGGACTGGTGTGCCTCTACATTTGTGTCAGGCAAACACTGTAGACATGACGGGCTCATGAGAAGAATAAACCAGATTCAACCCTCTCTTTACAGCTCTGGCCTGACCAGAGTGCTGACCTCTGATTGATTATCTAAGGACTTTGGAAGGCAGGGTTTGGGGTGACTGGGGTAGGTGGGGGGTGTTCTATGTGAAAACCAGTAACTCATACAAGACAGCAGATTGAGAATGAGCCTGCAATGGACTCAGCTAATGACTTGGTTCCCAGACTTCTTTAAACAACAAAGAAGAAACCCGTGGTACTCCTGTCTGTGTGTCCCATAAACTCACACATCTCTTCTAGTTTTCTCACTGTAAGCTTAAAGATCTGGAGTGGGTGACTAGGTTCCAGGCCCTGCCAATGCCCAGATGTTTGTTATTCTTAGTCAGGAACCCTGTTCCCTTCTCAGCCATGACAAAGGAATCAGCTGACAACTTAGTACAAGAATGTTGAAGGGTGGGGGTGATTTCCACCCACCTGGGCCGTGCCTGAACTCAGCCGGGAGGCAGCCAAAAGGCTCAGGTGTGGCCCCAAATGGAAAACCAGACACTTTCAAAAAATCATTTGGCCTCAAGAGTTAATGAATATCAGATCTATTACTCACACAGGTTAAACTACATGCAAACTAATTAGATTTCCTAATGCAGTCAATGATGGTTTTCTATCTCCAGCAACATTCAGATCCAGCCCAAGTTGGCACCCACTTTGGGTTGCTTGAAAACTGCTTCAAGTGTGCCTGAACAGGAGAAGCCAGAGGCCAGCCTTCAGCCCCCTGCAGACACTCTGGAATTATGGCCGTCCTTCAGCCCCTTTCCTGCCCTTCTCTGACAGGGGTCCCCCTTCTCCTGGCAGTCTGCATTATTTTCCTGAGGACGTGATTTTGAAAACTGCTGCTCTCGGGTTAGGGCTGCCTGGAGCCCCAACTCCGACTGAGTTCACATGCAAACTTTCCCCCTGCAGGGACAAACTTTCCCTTACAGAGGTGATGCGCAGGGCTGCAATGTGTCCAGGGGCACCTCCCTGAGGTCTCAGACAGGGTGCCAAAAAGAAAAGCAAAGCAAAGAAAAAAAAGCCTAGAGCTTGAGGAGATTCCCTGGGGGCCAGCTAGGCCCAGAGGGCCTGGGCTTAGTGAGGGAGCAGGAGAGTGCATTTTCCAGGTTGGATACTGAAGGAGAGGAAGGGGGCTGAGAGGGCCTCTCTGGGAGTCAGTGTGTGGAGCATCCTTCTGCACACAGCAGGACAAGCCAGGAGTTACATCAAGTTCCCACTTTAAAATACACTCTACAGCTTGGCCTTTTAAAAGGGGAAATGGGGCTGGCCACTTTTCCAGGCCCTCACTCTGCCCTGGGAGCTCCTGGGTACCTGAGAACAAGTCTCCATCCTACCTGAGGTGAACAGGACTATGGCCTTGAGGCAGCTGTACTCGGCGGAATCGACGTGCAGTGCCTTGAGCTTCTCCACTTGCTCTTGGAAGATCCGTATGTGGTCCATAAAGGCGACCACCCGGTCGGCCGACATGGGTGAAGCGTGCAGGCCAGCAGCGGCCAGGAGCGGGGCGACGTGGAGGGGCATGGAGCACTGGGCTGCATTCAGCACGAACAGCTCGCTCCAGGTGAGGCGAAGAAGGGCCACCTGGTCCGTGATCTGCAGGTCAGGGAAGAAGGGGATGTTCCGGGCCCACTCCACGGCGCTGAAGAGCATCCGCGCGGCCAGTTCGCA